AGATATAGCGGCTCTGTGTGTTGGTATTTGCTTTCGCCGTTGTTTTTTCACCTCCTGGTGTGCTTCCTTGCCACGTGGCTATGCCATGCGCCAAGCAGACGGTACAAGGGGTCTTAACGAAGCGGGTTTTCTGGTGTCGGCGTCAGATCCAGGATTGACAAGGACACAGGAAAAGCCGGCTTTTCACCAGTCTCGCACAGCAGCCTCCCAGATATCACCATGACTCGTGTTCTAGGCATGCCTCTCACTGTAGCAGACTACCAAGAGGCAGAGATGATGTTGGGATTTAAGATCTTAGGTTTCTGAGGATGTGAAATGAAAAAAGGCAGTCCAGCACTGCGGAAGCTCTACGTGACTAGGAAATGCATAGACTCTGCACGAGTGTGGTACCAAATAAAGCTGAGAAAGTCGAGGCAGCCTTAGAGATGTGCTGTCAAAGCACGCTCCTGATACGGACAAAAGCACTAATGAAGATGGACTATTTCGGAAAGACCTTAAGGTTAGGCAGAATAAATCTCCTCCTGTCTGCACAAGATGATGTTATCCTATCTATGCAGACCGTTTACAGAACATTTTTAGAGGCAATCTCTAGTGGGCATCTCTCCTTCCCGACATTAACTACAGATACTAATAATGGGACAAATTAGACTCTCTTTTCATCACATGTAGATACTTTGCCTTTGGTATGCGGTCACTGGTCTTCATATTCTTGGTATTTAATTGGTATATTAAAAGCTCATGGTTTCTTTGTGGTTTGGGCAGCTCAAAAGTTTTAGGCAGAGGAAGTGCTAATGTGCATCTGTAGTTGGTTTATAAACAGGAGATTGAATCCAAGGCGTGTTACTAGACAGGCTCTGAATTGATTTTTTTTTTTTTTTTATATATGTGTACCTCTGAATCGATTCGTTTGTCTTCTGTATGTCTCTCACTTCTTCATATCAGATCAGAGCTACCTTTTGGTAGTTGGTGATAGTTTTTGCCCTATCTCTACCGTGCTTTGGGCACATGTGCTCACAAATCAGCACAGAAGATAATCACTGAGCAAACAAATCAAGGGACAAAATAAAGAGCTACGGGCTTTGGATTAAGTATATTCTGCTTGTTTTTGTCAGATAAGGATGTACATAAGGGGCGAAGAAGGATATCTTGTGGTTAAAAGATGGCAGTGAAAATTTGGTTCGTTTTATTTTTGGAATATGTACTATCAGAGACTTCTGTTTGTGCAATTTGTTTACCTCTTTGTGTATCAATTGCATTGCCTATAAACAAGGAGAATAATACTTGAGATATTATCAGTTGGCAAAATTTAATCCAAGGCTTAATGCATTAGTGTCTTTAAAGGATTTTGGGATCCTCTGATAGAAAAAAAAAAAAAACAACCCCACACAATATGATCAAGTCAAACCCAACTCATAATCAAAATAAATGTAACTTGCCATTTCCTTAGCCAGGCTCTGAAACATATCATCCATATTTACGTAAATAAGATGACATTGGGATAACAATGTTCTGGGTAGTCTGCAACCTACTTTACCAGAGTTAAAATCCCTGCCTCTTATTCCTCTGAGTCCGAGGATATCGTGAGCGCTTGAGAAGAGATTTGGCAGCGAGGGTTGCGGGAATGGGGCTCTGGATGGGGCGGCTGTGGGGCCCATCCCTCAGGCACGCGTGGACAAGGATTTTGCCAGGCAAAAGTTCCCACGCTGCCTGCTGGATCCAGAGCAGTGGGGCTGCTCATCTCCCATCTATGATTCTATGTGAGAAAGTTTCTTCCTTTCACCAACTATGCATGAAACAGTAGAAATGATAAATACCTCAGTGACACATAATAATTTGGAGGGCTCTTGTTAAAGGCAGTCTCCTGATTCACAAGCAATTCACATGTAAGGGAATCTTTTAAAGACTGTTGATTTTACTAAGCCCCAGATACACAGAGGTATACATATCTGCACTGAAATCAAGGCAATTAGGTACCTAATTAGCAATTAGTTGTATATATACAAAACTGTTTAGATATCTGATTTCTACATGTATTTTGTGATGCAGCTGTTTGAGGCAGGCTGCAATTGTAAGCCCCCATTTTATAGGGTGTCATTATGAGGTATGGATATAGTTGTGTAAAACAGAACGAGGTCTTTTATCTAGTTGCCAGCTGTAACACCTGTATTTCTTGCCTGTGTTCAGCACGCTGTATGTATACCTGAGCTCCTGCAAACCAAAGATTATGCATACAGTGTAAATACAAAAGCCAATAAAAATTATGCTTGTGTACATTTAAAGCTCCATGCAATAATATCCATGAAAGACTGTTTCAGGTGCACTGGCTTGTGTTTATTAAGCTTGACTTTAATCTACAACACTCAAGAGAATGGCATTCCTTTCAGGAAACCTTTTCCCCCAGTGAACAACATGGAGAAACTCCTCCATGGAGAAACTGCTGACTGTGATGGGATTTGGGTGCAGGTTTCTGGACAGTGTGATCTTTTTTAGCTTTCTTCTAAACCGATAAAGCCAGGAGGAGCCAACAGGTCTTAATAAACAGAATTTTTGATGTGCTGTTTGGGATCTTAAAGCAACCTTGACTGTTCTTCTCAGCCATAATGATGTGCTCTCCCATCTTGAAGACCCTGTTACCTTCTTACCCGTGTTTAAAAAACGAATGAAGAAATACCACATTAGGTGAAGAATGAATGTGATCATACTTCCAAAGAATTACTGCGGCTTTCCTTGCAGAACCTGACACAAAGTGTCATCTCTACCTGCAGCTAAAACAGGAGGTGGGGAGATATGGTCAATAAATGGGAAATGCAAGAGAAAATGGCATCAGCATCAAGCTGTGCTCCCCTGAGTATAATACTAAATGAAGACGTTAGAGCACAAATAAAACATGTATAACATCAAGCAGATTTTCTATGTCTTGTTCTAGATCTCGAATTTAAATTTGGATCCACACTGTGAAGTCAAAGAATAATGAAGCGGGGTTTGCTTTAACTTTGGAGGACTTACAGAAGTACAGCTGTAGAACAGGGAGTCCCTCTCCCAAGTAAGATATGATGCTGAGGATGAGAAAGCAGGGGGGGATACAAAACTGCTCTGAAGTCATGGCTGGGACCTCTCTGATAGCTATCGGGAAGGTTGTCATATCAGAAAGATAAATTTCTCCCACAGAGAGGTTTTCACAGGAAGCCTTTTGAAAAGAAATGTTCTCATAAGTAAATTGTACAGCTCATATAGATTCAAGGTTAAGAGGTTGGTACAACCCCTGTCCAAATGTTAGCAGGAAATAAAACTGTAATAACAGCAGCCTTTCACTGACATCAGCTCCTTATTTATAGGCACCCTAAGGAGTCTCTACCCTTCAGTGATGATAGGGGCATGGGCTTTATCTTTCTGTAGTTGAAGTTGCAAACATTCTATTACAAGCCCTGTTTTCAGGCTATGCTATAGATTTTACTCTTAGAGGTGGTTTGACCTAGAGGACTTCATGTTTCCTGAAAATACTAGGAGAATTTCCCCATAGGTTTAAAGATGAACGGACCGTGTATTTTTGAGATACAGATATCTAAAAAATTACTCTTACATTTAAAATCTCAACTATATTCGGGTCTCTGGGCCGGGCTACACAAAAGGTGTGAACAGGCCATGCCAGGAACGAAGGCTGACAGTAAAGCAGAACTGTAGAAAGGAAGAGAAGTCATCCAAAATGCCTCTCTCCTAACACCCTGCCAAGCGGGAGATGGGAAGGGGGGAACTCTGGCAGGAAGAGTAAACAGTTAAGCCATTTTTAATGAATTTTTTTTGAAGGTTGTTAGGAAAATATTTTCATAAACAAGGGAATAATTTGCTTCCAACTGCTTGTTCAGGCATCTGCCTCTGCCTGTTTCCTGGGGTGCCTTGGCTCGTGTGAGGGGTGGGAGGAAGGGGCGGCCGCGGGCTGGCCTTTCTGAGCCGCCAAGGGCTGAGACTTGTGTTCCCCGAGCGGCAGAGAAAGCCCCGCTGGGGCACTCTGCTCTTTTGAGTGGCTCTGGTTGCTTGGCATTTCTGTGCCTTGTCAAAGACCACACAGTGTCTTTTCCAAAGCGAACATTTATAGATTTCAGGTTTTCTTTGTCACGCTCGATAAGCAAGTCGAATTACCCTGAAAGGACTCTAAATGGTTTCCACCTCGGAGTACAGGTTCTCTGAGCTCTGGACAGTGCTAGGAGGATAGCTCTCGTAAGTTAACAACACAAATGAGCAGAAATGAAACGTAATTATCTATGAATATTAGTAACAGGTTAGCTATGTAAAAAGCATATTTTTGAGGAGGTAATCTAAAAAAAGTACAGTGAAACCCAGCAGCTTCCCTTATTTGCTTCATTAGCTTCAAGATTTCTCACAAACCATACACAACATTTGGGGGTCACTGCCACTTTCTCCCTCTCCTATTGAGGATGTTTGCACTAGACTTCAGGAAGCTGATAAGCGGTGTATAAACCCCTTCCTAAAGCTCAAAAGGCCAGCTGATGTCTGCTGAGGTTTCACTGCTTCTGATCCCTATGGTCTCGCAAGGTTCCTTGGGTGAAAGGCTGCTACCTCTCCAGAAAGCCTGTGTCAGTGAAAAAGGCTAAGACCAAATTCAGCCCAAGTTTGAGTCACAGAAAGGCTTTTTGGGGGCTGTTTCCAATCTTGCTGCCTTATTTGCATATCTATGTTAAAAAAAAAAAAAGTATAATATACACAAACATAAAAACAGCTCAGAAAGCATAGCTATGATATGCAAAGGTGTCCTAGCGAATCTTTTGGCAACTTTTACTCACTATTGCAAATTCTTTGTTGAGGATCATCTGCTCCACCAGTGACGACTCATTGTGGAAGAGGTGAGGCTGCATGTGACTCCACATATGGGGAAACCACCAAAACTCGTCCACAGACCTCAACAGCAGGTCATCGCCTTTATCTTCCTCTTCAGTCCCTGCAAAAGACAGAAAGAAAAAAATGAAAAGGTAATAGAAAAGCAACAGCAGAAAATGCCCGTAATTGTTTTTTAAATACAGAAGAGGCTGCCATAAAACCTAATGTTTTATGGTTGTCTGGTTGTCTCACTGAGCTGCAGGCAGGCTCTATCGTACCACAAAAGGAGTGAGGTGATTTACCATGGATGCTAGCCATCCCTTTCTATTCCTGGCACAGTCTTAACTGATGGTAATTCTAACAAGAACTAGTTTTCAAGGGCTGATTGTTGTGTTGTGTAGTGCACTAGGAGTGTTTAGAAGTTCAGGGTCCCCGTGAAGGTGGAGATTGGATGGAGTTGTACCCACCTGCTTTGGTCCTGCCAGACAGAGAGCTACACACAGAGCGCTGTGTGCCAGAATCTCATCAACCCCCCACAATCGTAGCTACTTCATTATTAACCTCGGTAAATTGAAATCTGATCATTTCTGGTAAAGTGTGAAACAAGTTTGCAATAGTTTCCAAATATAAGCAGGTGGAAAACATGAAGCTGTAATGGCAAAGGGGTTCCAAATCTTGTTTCCTATGGTTCAGTATTCAATTTTTGCCAGGTTTAATCTTGAAGTAAAAACAATAAAAACTCCTGCGTTAGTGAAGAGTATCTGCTCCAGGCAGAAGCAAGCATGTGTGGTTATAACAAAGAAAACCTTCCATTTGAGAAATAGTGCAATGCTGCTCCCACCATCTGCAGACATACGTCTGCAGTGCTTTTTCAAATTGGAAAGGCCAAGTTACATTTCGGTAACTTCACCCTCGAATTCCTCAACAATATTCAGTTTATTAGCAGCCTTCCTTCTTGTTCCTTTACCATTTAAATGCTTTCATTTAGCTTCAGTCAAAAAAATAATAGTCAAAATCAGTTTACTGATGCAAACATAGATATCTTTTCTTCTTACAAGCCTTTGAAAGTCTTGCAAAACTCATTGGAAGAAAATGCTCCATGGATGTCACCGTTGACTTGTGGAATGAGGCAGGAACATAGAGAGATGGCTGTTCGGTGCATGCACTTCAGCTCTTTATTTTTATTTTTCACTTCTGCAGTGTTTTTTGAAGAATGCTACTACACAAGCAGAGCATTACTTTGAAACTTTCTCCTGGTATCACTGAATCACTTTACCCCCCCCTTCGCAGCACTCTGCAAGTTCTAAGGAAGTTGCTCCCGCTGATGGGAGCGCTGCTGGAAAAAAGAAAACAACCTTGTTTTCTAGGTAATTCCTTATTGAAAAGAAAAAAGGACCGATGGCTGCTCCTTCTGTGAACGTCTGCTCCTTTGTGCAAAACTTCTGGATACTGCATCTGCTGAATGACCGCTCTCGGGTTTTTTTGGGCTGTGTGGTTCACCTGCTGTCACCCAGGCACATGCGAGGGAAACGTGACTGGGGAAAGAAACTTAACGTAGGCTTTCAAAAGAGGACAGAAGAGAAAGGCATAGGAGTTTGTGAAGCCATTGAAGATCTCTTTGGTAACCCAAAGGTAGAAAACAGAAGGTAGGGTCGAAGAGGGGAAAAAAAGTGGGTATTTGAAATCTACAAAGAACTGCAGTCATTCGACATAAGATTTAGGTCGAAGTATAATTTAGCACCTTATTAACATTTGAAGTAGAGTATGGTTCTTGAAATAATTCCAGTATTAAAAACTGTATTTTAAAAATCCTATTTTTTCCTACTGATTTCTTTGTAATTTTAATTTGTAAGATACAAATTTTGTAACTTTAGATACAAATAATCAAACTTTACACTTTTTTTACTGTAACAAAAAATCAAACAAGATAAAGTATAACTCTTTCCAGTTTAAACAAAACCAACCCCACCCTGTAATGGCAGAGCTGAAACAGAAAGGTTGGAAGTTTAACATTTGGTGGCAGTGTCCCTTTTGAGGATAATTTTCTTCACAAGCCTTTAAAAAGAGCGTTGCTTGATTTTATAAATTCTTAAGTAGCGTTATTTCCAAAAAATCTCATGGAAAGGTTCAATGGAGCATTTAGAGAGTGCTTATATTGTTTAAATATTTTTGCCCAACCCCTTATTGAGAGTATTGGAGGCAAAACAAGGGATTTTGAGGTTTTAATTTCTTGTACAATCGGCATTCTTTATGTAAATTTCTGTCTTCATTTTAATGCGAAATCCGAAAAATGCAGTAGACTTACAATCAAGGCGGTGAACATATATCTGCTTTGAGATGCAGTATGCACTTTACACAGGTAGGTAATAATTCAAAGTTTGTTTGTGCATAATAAATAATCCCATATTTTAAAACTGCAACCATAACTTAGAGGTCTCTTGAGCTCAAAACTGAAACTAAGTTTGAAGTTGCTATCAATAATCTTATAAATCTTAAATGCAAATCCTGACAACATCTTAATTTCTATTGCCACAGCATGAACAAGTAGAAAGTGTTTGCTAAAACTGCATAACTAATAGGGTCTGCTCAGTTTTTTGCTAATAGCGTTACGTCTACAGTACATAGTTTACCAGTGCCGCAGGAGAGAGTGGTGGTGGTGGTGAGATGATGAGCAGTGAGGCTGAAGTGTCAGCTATTGTACTTGTGCGCGGGCATACCAACTAGAATTGGTATTTGTAGTACAGATGTCAGCAACATCTTTTGATGAAAATGTATAACTGTTTAATCTGCCAACACATTCCCATGCTCATCTCCCTCCTGTAGTTTTAAAACGATCCAAGTTTTGGAAAGGAGAGCAAAATCACACATTAAGGAAGTCAATAAGGCACAGCAGTTGCAATGCGCTAATAAAACATGTTGAGTATCTGATACTAAAAGCCTCTCTGGGTAAACAAGCCACTTTTACAGTAATTAAAGAATACCTTTCCATGTTTTATTTATATTAAGTCAATAAAGTGTATATTGTGTGGAGAATACTTTGAAACCTTTCCACTAAGCTGATATGACAAAACGCCACCACCAACCTGTAAATGAAGCATTCGCTTAAAAACTCAGATGCGTCGCTGAGCACAGGCAGCAGCAGGTCCCTTAATGGAGGCAATGACATGCTTCAACTCATTAAGTAGTTCTGTGCTATTTTTGTAAGCCTTGAGAGCCTTAGGAGGACAGGCACACATGCGCATTCTCCTATTTTCTTTCTCTACAGCAGTAGCAAATCTGAAATCGGTCAGCGTTATATCAGCTGGGCAAGAAAACCCGTGACAACAATATGGAGGCCATTGGGATGAATGAAGAAAAAATGTATTGGCAGGTCAGGGCGTTGATTTTGTAGAAAGGCTGCATGTTTTGTGCCAGCCACGGTTCAGTACGTCATAGTATTTATAATAAATTATCTCTTTCGCCGCCACTTCCCCTCCTTGAATTACCTTTCTCTGCAGTGGACACTGTAATGACTGATACCAGCTTTACTCTCTAGACGGCCACAACCGAGCAGCATCCTACTTTAGGGCGGCTCAGGGCCTTGGGCTATTTTTGTTTATTTTGCTGTATTGCGTGTGTGTCCAATTAATCTCCAGAAGGAATAACTACAGAGGCAGGTCAAGATGAAGTGAGGAGAACAAAGGAAGAGGATGAAGTTCTGTCTCCGAAGTTGCTCTCTAATCACAGGTCTGCCACTGGCTTGTTATATGACTCCAGGCAAGTAATTCCATCTCTCTCTACCTCTCATTTTTCTTGGGCTCTCCAGCCTATATCTCTAGTCTGTAAGGTTTCCTGGGCAGCAGTTGCTTAGCATTATGTGCTTGCACAAGGGGAAAACAACCTGGACTTCGAAAGCGACAGTGATACAAATACATAATTTTGGTTTCCTTCTCTCTGCTCATCCCTCAAATGCTTCCCTATGTCCTCTTCTCCCAGGGACCTCTGTACTCTCCTCACGGGTGGTGAAACGGAGCTGTAAGAGCTGGGTAAGCTCATCTGGTGTTCAAATATCGGCAATGAAAAGGGGAGCACTGCTACGCTTACGCTGAGAGGATGACCTGCCTTACTCCACAGCTACCTCACGGCCCGTGACAGCTGGGACTGCATCGTTCCTAGCTTTTAAACTTACCCTCCCATCCTCTTGCTGCTGGAATGCCTCCTCCTCTGCTCCAGATAAGCTTCTCAGCCTCCCTGGCATCACTCAGTCAGTGTCACTAAACGTGGCTGAAGGGGTTGACAGCTGAGGATTTTGGAGCTGGTCTTCAAAGGTGGGAAGGGCATGGGGTTTGGAAAGGAGAAGGACAGGAGGTGTCTCCTTTGAAGCGAGTCATTGAAAACGTCTTTTTTTGCCTTAGCAGTACTAGGGAGCGGCATAGCTTGGTGGCAGCAGAGGGAAGCCTGAGTGGAGGTGCAGCAAAGTGATAAGGAGAAGGCAAAGGAGGAGGGGGGGGAAAAATTTGAAAAAAGGGTCATTGTGCTGTGCAATGGAGCAAAAGAGAGAAAGGAGTCATAAAGAGGAGGAGGAGGAGATGTAAAAGCGCCTAATCTTCCACAGAAACACAGTGCGAGTGTGCAACTTGTTACTGCATTGAGTGTGAAAGGAGCAGGGTTTCAATACAAATTTCTTTTTACCTTGTTTTCCTTTTATCGTCCCCCCTGCTTTGCGGAACACCGAGATAGATTACCTTTGCAGTCATAACAAAACCTTGTGCATCCCATTCAAACACTTCTGCCTCTTCAGAGGTTATGAGACGTGATTTTTCCAATCTTTTATATTTTATCATACCTATCATACTGGAAAAAACCTTAGTACGTCTTCTGTGCTGTCCTGTCTTTTGTGGAATTATAAAGATCTTAGCAGCTATTTTGCCTCCTTTATAACCCTAAGATTTACTACCACGCATCTTTCAGAAAAGCACCGAGGGCATCTACGTGTTCCTGAGAAGCTCATCCGTAGCAGACCTTTGTCCCTTTGGACACTGAATTAGACACTGGATGCTAAAATGGTGGAGAATGTATTTCCCACTGCTCTACTGAGTCAATGTGTTATTTAAAAAGGGTGTGTTTAAAGCTAGGTTTAAAATCCTGCCACCTATTTAACTGCAGCTACCTGAGAGCATGAAGTTCCTTCTTACCTGTGTGGTAAAATTTTCCTGAAAATCCAAGGTTGAAGGTAAAATTTGCAACCTGAGTGCGCAGTAAATTTTGAGTCTCTAGTAAAGCCTGAAATAAATAAGAAATTAACATGCATTTAGAAAAATGAGTATTAATTTTTGGAATGCCTCATCTTAAAAGTTGTGTCCAAATGAGGAGATACAAAAAAGACGACCCTGTTAAGTGTTTCACATTTTATTTTGGGCTCATTCTTTTTTATAAGACTATTACAGTGAGCTTGATTTGTTCCATCAGAGTTTGATGGTCTAGTAATGCTAGTAATAGTACGTAAGTACCAAAGTAGGTGATGGTTCTGTAACTTGGACCAAGATACTATACATTGTTTATGGTGATCTATGGCAGGACTTGAATCCAGCCATTCAGAGGCAGCAATATACTAAATCACGAAGTCACCCACGCTTTGGGTTATTAATGAAGCTTGATAAAATGTGCTTAAAACCCAAGGAAAATTAGGAATACTACTTGTCATCCAGATGTGGAGGTGTTGGGATTTACTTACCTGCACAAACATTTTTGATTGTGCCTGAATACCAAATTCAGGCTTAAGTGTGAATGAGCAAAACTCCAATGTTGACTTCTGGTAGAAGTAGTGTCCATGTCAGAAATTAAATCCCTGTTTATTTTTATTCTTTCCTCCAAGCAAAAGATAAGACCAATCTAAATGAAATGGAGGAAAAGGGTATTGCTTATAGAAAAAATAGGTGTAGTCTTGGTCACCTATCTGTTTTTTCTTAGACATATTTCCAACCGCTGGTTCAGCCTGCGTGAGGTATCTACATTTACTGTTAGTTGTCAACTCCGCACTGCTTCTAAAGATAGTCCTTGCTGCACAGATAACTGCCTGCTTTCAATCACCAGCCCACATAATTTGGACGTGCTACATATGTGAGATGGATAGTGCATTTATCTCCCTACTGGTCTTGCCAATGTTGAATGGGTTATAAGCTCTATTTTCATCAATTTTCCATGTCTCCATTATGTGGCTCTTGAGAACTTTTCCCATTATCTATTAATAACATTTCTATTGATCGAGTGTTCATGTTCTTGCACAGTTCAAAGACAAAATGAATGCAGTGGTTTACACACAGTCCGAGTCCAGCTAATGTTTCCTTTCATTTAAAAAAATTACATTTTGTGTCGTCATTAGTAATTTCTCTTAACATTACAGGAGAATAGTTTTACCTTTTTGCTCCACCCACTGGTCTAATTTAAAAAACGACAACAGCAAACTCTACTTGTGACCATAAACCAAAATTGACACCGGTCCAGTGTAAATGACGAAACCAGGGTTTAGGCAGCTGAGATGCAGACTGACGGCCTGTGCAATCCTAGTCCAGAGCGGAGCCCAACTAAGCAGGGCAGGTTTCTGCAGTCTCGTGATTTATCGTATTTCCTTTGCACTGCAACGGGTTGGGAGGCATTTGCTGTAGGACATTAACTTCCTAAAGTTACTGACTCCCTCCTAATTATGCAGCTATTTGGGCACCGTGCGTGTTGGAGCACAAGCCTCTTCTGAAGCATCATTTGCTAACAGCCGCCTCCTAAAGAAGCATCATTCGGGTGCCAGGCAGCTCGGGAGTGTAATACAAAAGATTGTCAGACAGTATGCATCTGCCTTTATTTTTTAAATAGAAACGTTTATTTGGGCGTTAAGGAAAATGTAAAACAATGATAGTGGTTATCGGCTACAACAGTCACCAAGCAAATTCCTTTCCTTGCTAAAGGAAATAATCTAAAGACAGTAAATCTTGTGCTTTAGCATTAAATATTAAGATAGCAGTATGGTTTCCAGCCTATCTTGCCAGACATTTAATAAGTTGATTATTTCAATCCTGTGACAATTTCACATGTGGGACTATATTTATATAATATATAACAACTAAATGTTCACTAAAATGTAAAACCTTAGAGATCAACACCACTGTTAGCTAAGACATTGAGGAAAATCCCCAGCTGGTAAAAACTGGCACTAAATTGACACCATTAAAGTCACAAGCATAGAATCTGAGTCATTATATTTTAGAACATAATTTTCCAAGCTATCTAGAGCATTTTATATATGTTGAGAAAGATGGATGGGCTGAGCCAAATCAATTCAATTTTCCTTTGAGGAAAGAACATTTTGAGAAATTATAATCACTTAACATATAGTATAAGAAGGTACACGAAAAAAACATTATATCACTTTGGTTTTTCTCTCTGATTTCCCTCACGTCTCAATAAGATGACAGAACTGCAGGATAGGCAGAAGCTTTCCAGCCCAGTGAGGTCTCATTAAAAGCACAGAGCGAGGATTAAGATGTAAATCCTGTAACCTGCAGCGTGTCAAGCATTTTTCTCTGTCTAAAGGGCAAATCTGTCACTCAAACTGGATTTGGCTTGGTCCTAAAGACTTTTTTAATTGCAATTTCCATATATGCATATTAATTTATATAATATGCAGCTAAACTTCATTTTCATGACCTCACCTGATTTTAATACTAAGAAGATATTGTCAGCTAAGTCAGTGCAAATTTATCTTGTCACTACTTGCCTGTTTGTAGAGGGGCGGGTTAACATCTTCCACATGCTTAATATAAAAAAAAAACCAATCTCTGTTTAGGTGATTAGGGTCTGTCTTCCCTATTTTTAATAAATATCTCTTCAAACAAAATTGCCAATGACTCGTACTGCCTTCACTGGTAATTTTGCACAGTAAATAATGAGAACTTTTGTCTCCTGTAGGTACAGACCTTAGCAGCAGACGGCATAGAAAAGTGCCGCGGCAGGAGAAGAGCCGACAGCTTTCCTCCATCACCCTTCTCGCGCTCTCCCGGGTGGGTGAGCCCCTGCTTCTTTGCCTGTGTGCGAGGATAGCTGCAAACACTGCTGCTCGGGCAGTTCTCCGGCTCCTGGACGGAGCTGCGCATCCCTGGCATCCAGTGCCAGAAACATTTTCGGGACTTGCGCAGCCTTCACGTGAGACCCAAGGTATTTATTTTATTCTGAAGGGTTTTGCAGGATGGAGAAGGGCTATTGAATTTTAACAGCTGGAAACTTTACCCGACGCCAGGTGCAAACACAGCTATTCACACTCTGCCCGGTGCTGCCGTGCTGTCCCCGGCTCCCCTCGGCAGCCCTCCTTCCCCGGGGGCTCACCTCTCCCCGTCCCACCTCCATCCCCGTTGCACGCTGACCTCGGGACTTCGCTGCCTAGACTGAGGGAGAAACGGTAGGCGCTGCCCACACCTTCAGCAGAAGGGAAATTCGTATAGAGGAATGTGGATTTAAAAAAAAAAAAAAAAAAAAGGCATGACAAATCTTATTTTGTAGAGAAGATTTTTCTCCTGGATATTTCATCTGACCACAGTATTTAAGTTCTATCTGCCAGTGTGTGTCTTTTCCTCAGAGTCAGTGGGATTACTTTTTTTTCTCTGAGTACTGGGGCTTAAAAGAGCTGTAAGTGGAGGAAAGCTACTTGCATGGGAAAATACAATCAGCATTCCCCATTGAACTCATAGGGGTGTGTTAAAGCAACAGCGGGAACTCACTGTTGTTTTATTTTTGGACAGTTAAATAGATCATGCTAAATAATTATCGTTCTCCAAGGAAAAAAGCATGGAGCACACCTGCACATGGACAAACAGGCATGGCTCAGTGCAAGGCTAAGCAAAGGGCGTTGGTTTTTTTTTAAGGTAATCCAAGTGTTCTTTCAAATATAAAACCTTCATTGCCTGGAATCTGTCAAAACTCGTGGGTTTCATTTTATTAATTGATTTTTTGCTTTGTCAGTGAGGCTTCTCTCTGTGACATCCACAAGATACGGTTTCTTTTTTATATTGCATTTACATTCAGCAGTCTTTTACATTAATCCATATAATTACCTTTTGTAGATTTGAAGTTGCTGTGTCTTTATTCTTCATAATTGGTGCATCTATTAAGCAGAAGTGATATTTTCCTGCTATGTCCTTGTTAATTATAACTCTATCCTTCATTTACATAATAAACTTTTTGGGGCAATTTCTGCAGTAACATTTCATGCCTAATAGGAAGCAATTTGCTTTCCTTTATTAAGTGCATTAAAACTTCATGCCCCAGACATCATTGACTGTAAACATTTGATTCTGCTCAAATTTAATGCACCAAGGCATTTTGCTCTGCCATATTAGGTTTATTTATGTGCTATGTTCTGGATTGTTAGCTGCTAATGAGACTTCGGCTCTTATTGCTCTAAGGCCTGAACGCTAACCTCATTTTAATGAGTTCATTATTTGCTGCCTTCTGAACGGAAGACAACAAATTTTCCTTTTAATTAAAGGTCAAAACACCTCTGGCTAAAGAAAGTGAAGAGGTTATCAAATCCTTAGAGAAGGTAGAAGAATGACTTTTTCTGATTTTGATGCCAAGCATGGGCAGGCCAGGCTGAGGTAGAAGGTGTCTGGGGACTAAAACTCCAAATCTAAGCTAAGCGATAACAATGCTAAAACGTGGTACTAGTCTTCCCAAGACATTGTAAAAAAAAAAAAAAAAAAACCCAAACCAAACAAAAAAAACCCCAAAACACAAAAAACCCAAACCAAAACAACCCCGAAAGTCAGCCAAAGTAATTAAAGAGGCTTTACTCCTAACCCAAAGGTCTGCGTGGATCAATACTACTGCTAAAGCGTGAGCCCTTCTTTGCATGTGCAATTATTTATAGGGTGCAGAGGACAAATGCCAGATTAATTGAGCTAACAAAAACTAATCTCATGTTTCTTATCGGGGAAAGTGAGGCAAATGTGATCAATATTGGGGGCTGTTTGTAGACAGAGGTATACGCAACCGTGCAAACACACGTAAAGGGGGTTGGTGATCCCTTTCTTTGAAAATACCAAGTAGAAACTTCAGTGAAACCAAAAAAGGATTCATTAAAGGAATTAACACACAGATCCTTGTCCTCTGTCTAGTATTTTATACCTGGTCACCATCTTGAAAGCAGGCTAACAAACACGGGTTCATGTACTTCTCATTCGAGAAGCTGCTCAGATCACAGGTAATAGTGCTAGAGTCAGAAAGAGTATTTGGAAAAG